TCCTGGAAAAGACGATGCATAAAATATAAAACTAGAGACTGGAGGCTTTATTATTGTAGTTTATTTTTTCAGAAAGTAAGGGTTAAAAATGTTCATTAAAAATTGATTATTATGACATGTCATCTATCTTAAGCTGTTTTACAGATAGTGTTTAAAAGTGTAAACATTATTGCATTTTAGAGCCACAATAAAAAAATGTCAGGACTATAAAACGGAAGTAAACTGCAAAATGGTCTTTCCATTGCTTTTCATGTTCTTTTAGGGCACAAAAAGGGCTATGAAGCCACGTGTGTCTAATATTGAAACACACGACCATATCAACATTATCAAAAAAATGTAACAGTAGGCCATAGTTATTGTTTTCCTGTGTTTCCCCCTCCTGCTTCCACAAAGTACCATGAAATCTCTGGGTAAGATGCCCATCAAATCATTTGTTCAAGTGTACACATCGAAAATGAAGACTTTGAAACCACTAAGTTTTTTCTTTGGAGACCGTTGTGTTATGCAAGTCTGATTTTCTGCACATAGTCGTCAACCACGTTACACTTTCAGCTTTGTTCCCTCCTGCCGTGTGCTGACTTTTTTTTTTTCTTTTACATATTTCTCGAATATAAGTGTCGAGAGCTGCATGTCTGAACATAACTGAAAGGAAAAGTTGTAAAAAATGACGATATGTGCCCTTTAAAAATTGAGTCAACCATCAACATGAGCAAGCAGGCCTGAGAAAAATTCTGTTTCTCTATCTTCCAGAGTTATTGATCTCACTCTCTTCTGAAAAGGTTGTCAGGTTCACATTCTTTATTGAGGCCTTCTGTATGCTTATTTCGTTCTCAAGTTTTGAATTTAAAAAGTGTGTACGCTCCGGCTGAGTTATTCTGGTGTCAAAAAGTGTATTCAAGCAGCATTTTCTGCAGAGGGCTTTTTGTGCCCTCCTGTTGTCACTCAAGGCTGTTCTGTGATTAGCATAAATTATAGCATGTAACTTAACCCTCCTCTGGCTACCATAAATCTTAAAATGTGAGTCATTAGTCATGTTTACAGTGTCAGTGCAGCTCTGCTCTAGCTCAATCACAGAATTCAGTATTTTTCTTCTGTGTCAGAGCAGTCTGACTCAAACGATGCCAAGCCTCATCTCATTTGGACATTGACAAACTCGACTGCCCCGATGGGTGTTGACTTCATACTGAAGCATTCTGTATCATTAGAGAGCCACTCCCTTCAAGAAGTGATGCACTAAACTGAACAAATTGCTCAGTTTCTCCCCTTGCACTGAATACGCTGCATGCATAGGCTTGTGGAAACTCTCACCACTGTTCCATAATAAAAAGCTAACGGTACAGCAGGTGTTTTTTGCTCCCTTGTGACCCTGTCGCACTAATTTGTATGTATCTTGGGCTTCAGCAGTAAACAAAGATACTCATTACTCGGTAAATAGTGCTCAAGCATCATCTTTACAATGCATCCGATACTGCAGCATGAATGCAGTTATATTCAGTAAATTAGAATATGTGTTTTTGAGACTGCTTTGGTCAGATTAAATGTAAATTTGAAAATGAAGGAGCTAAAACACACTTGCAAGATGCCGAGACTTGAGATCAAATTTGTTCAGTTGTGCTAGTAAATTCACATAATGTCTAAATTCTAATTCTAATAGAAAAAAAATGTTCAAGGAAACTTTCTAACACCAGGTGCTAAGAACTAAAACTGCTTCTGTTGTCAGTGCTTTCATCATATTCCCCACACCGTAACTAACTGATGTTTAGCTAGAGTGAAAGAGACGGGTGACATAAATAAAACGGCACCAAATGAGTGAGCGAGTGAGAAGAGACAGGGAGGGGGCGCTGCAGTGAAGGTGTGTGTGTGTGTGTGTGTGTGTGTGTGTGTGTGTGTGTGTGTGTGTGTGTGTGTGTGTGTCAACCGGCTCTCGGAAAACAGAAAGGGTGAGAAAACACAGCTGATATGAGTTTATTGATGTTGCAGAAAATGAGTTTTGAAACTGCTGGCAAATACAAACAGTTTCAAAACTGTAATGAAATTCTGTCATTTTGTTGTACAGATGTTACGTTGTAGTCAAAATATTAAAATATTCTAAACAAGAAGGAAGAGACGGTAACCTTCACTAACGTAATGGTGTTGTAATGATGTTAACTTGTGTCAAATTCTATTATTGTAGTAAATCAGCCGATATTATTGAATCCTTAAAAATCAATCTAAAGAATCAATTCTTTAACTTTCGGCTGAGGGATTTTCATGATACACTAACAGAAGAATTGGGGAAACTTCTGTGTTTGTATCAGGAGAAGAGTCTATGTAGAGCAAATGCAAAGATTATTCAGCACTTGAACTTGAAAGATTGATGAGAGCTAATCACTAGTAGAATCAGAAATTACATCTATTTTTAATTAATCAATCCTCATTAATTATTATTTAAGAAAATGAAACATTCTCTGCCACCAAACAAAGATAAACAATGCTAATTAACTGACTAAATAACCTATGCAATAATTATTAAAAGGGTAACATTTTCAAGCCTGGAAATTAAATTGGTAATCTAATGAATAAAGAAATGTATTTTCCGGCTCTCTAACATCCAGCTCCATTCCCAGAGGGCCGGCGTCTCTCTGCTCCAACTCATCTGATTCAAATGATCCAAGTATCTTCTCTGCATGTCAAAGTTCTACAAAGGTCTGCAAATGAACCGTGATTTGATTCAGGTGTGTTGAACAAGGGAAAGAACTCAAACATGCAGGCACTGACCCTTGAGGCTTGACTTTGGACACCTTTGGCCTAAGGAAAGTGACTTTATAGCCTAGTTCTAAGTTTTATTCTATACTTTAAACCAAAGGCAGGAAAAATAAGGTTTTTGATCTTCAGAACTAAGTTGGACTTATCAAACTTTCAGAATCGAATAACAGCTACATTAGGAAAAACCTTTCTTTGGTCCAAACCGAGGTCTTACACCAATTATGAAACATGCTGAATCTCTGCAGGTGTGTGGTTTTAAATCACATTTGTCTTCCTGTTTGGTTAACAAAGAAGCTGTCACGCAAAATGCTGTTCAAAATGGCTGGAAAGCGTTCCCAATACGACCAAAGGAAACTCCCTTATATAGAGGATTCTTCACAGTAAAACTGGAGGAAAACAAAACATAGCCATGCAGAAATTTGTATTATTAGCTTATCAGAACAGCCAATGATGAAGCACATCAAACCAGTTCCAAAGTCTTAAAACTGGCTCCCTGGATCTCAGAAAAAATATATATCAAAACACTTGTTTTAGCTTATAAAGCACTGAATGGGTTAGCGCTGAAATATATTAAGGACCCGTTGTTGTTGTATCAAACTTCCAGACTATGCAGGTGTTCTGGTTCTAGTTTGCTCTGTATCCCCAAAATCAGAACCAAACGTGGAGAAGCAGCATTTATTTTATGCTCCATAAAAGCATACTATAGGTTTCCAGAATAAACTTCTGCAAACTTAAAAAAGAAAAAAAAAAGATGAAAACATTGATTGACCCATTTGCTTAGAGTTGCCTTTAATTAATGATATCTGGGATCCTCACTAATCCTAGTCTTTATTCCAATATTTCTGATGATTTTGACGTGAGCATTTGAGAAAATGCAATGTGCTGTTCATGTCTTAATCATGTAAAACATCTCGTATTGCCTGCTGCTGAAATTTGCTGCATGAATAAAGCTGCCTAAGTAAAACATAGATTTGCTTCTCACATACTCACAAACAATATTAAATTAGAGTGTAATTATGGCTTTCTGCATTTCTAAATCAGTAAAATAATAATACTGGTATAAGAGGTACTTTGACATGTCTCTCTTATACCAGTATAACACTCTGACACTGTGGCAAATTAAGCTTTTGCTGCATTCCTCAGGTTTCCAGACTGCAGGTCGGACCCTGTGTGGATAAGAAGTTTGCATTGACTCCGGATAAGTGAAGCCATGTGTTCATGTGTGCACTATGATGTTTTAGTGCCCAGTCACTTTTAGTTTCGCTTTTGATGTGCACAGTGGTGCAATGGTCATAATTTTCTTGAATAAAAGCAAATTTGTCATTGCATCTAGATTGTAAATACATTTCTACAAAACAAATTTAAATAAAAACTTTTTTACAGGCATCCACAACTATGCTATTAAAATAAAATCATACCTTTGCTGATGATGTAAGTAATCCAGCTTAATGACAACTGACTACAATTTTAATTATAACACACTTTTAAGATATTCTGCCTCACGTCCATTTGTGAATTAACTGCGAAAGGCCCTGGGGGTGAAAATGAGATGTTACCCAGCGTTGCTCAGTGTTGGAAATTTAAATGTGGCGACGCTGTCGGATGTTGGGGAAGTGTTAACGAAGATCCTGGCAGGAGAGGAGGAGTCGGCGAGCGGCGCGTCTGAGAAGAGAGCCTCCAGGTAATCTGGATACTCGCCGTTATCTCGGCACTTGTCACATGCGACAGTGGCAAAGCCCTCGACACTTCACTTTCAGGCAGCCGTTACCTTTCAGTGCATCATCACTTTCATAATCCCCTTACATGGTCAGAGCACTAAACTCTGTGTGTAGGCTCCTGACACCTGCCGCACACCCCTGGATTTCTGATAGCAGGGATTGAAGGGGATAATACCGCAAAGCATTTAGGACTCGGTGTAATTATCTCTTGGCCAGTTTTAACACCTTGCAACAATAGTAAAAGCACTTGTAAATCTTTGTAGTTAATATGAGAGGAGGAAGTGTGTTTTTGTTTGTTACTTCGCTGGTTTTCAGATTTCAGCCGTTCTTATTCGTGTTTCTGTGACAACTACTGTTTATCGTTTTTGCTCCTTTCAAAACTGTGCCGAAAATAAGTTTTTAATGAAGGAAAAAAAAGAAGGGAAAAAAAAAAATAGGGGGCCGTTTTGCTTGATTTGCTCAAACGTACATCCGCTAAATTTGACAGAGCAAATGTTTCCATTCTCAAAGCTGACTGCGCCGCGTCTGATTTCACAGAAAACAGCTCCCTTTGAAGAAGAAACAGGAGCTGGCAAGACGCTGCCTCCTTTCTCTCCAAGACGCTCTGAAGACAGGTACATCACAAGAAATACACAAAGACACTGGGAAGCTGACAGAGCTTTGTTAGGGCTGAAAATGACAAGCCGCAAAAGAAAGGCCTCAAAAGCTTAGCGGCAGCAGGAAATGCAAAAGTGGGAATAATCAGAGGGGGAGATTTATTGTACTTATTCTGAAGCTGTCACACCTTGCCTTTTTACAGGGAACCCATGCACTTTTTAATTAAAGAGGTCAATCATTTTCCTGAGCTCTGACATGTGGTGTGATTGCCTGCTACAGGACTGAAGCGGGTGGTAATTAAAAACTCTACACTTCAGACAGTAAAAAAGAGAAACCGTTTGCTTGTTTGAGTCACAATAAGTGAGAGAACGGTTATAAATGAAAGAATGGATTTTGACGAAATTGGTCCAGATTCCAACTTTTCACACTTTTTTTACACACCTCTATTCTGTAACTATTTGGGGCCAAGTTAAAACATCTAACAAATAAGTTCTGGAAGAGATTGGAGTCAAATTTCTATGAATTTTTATGAAATTCAGAAAACTACTAATCTCCTAAGCTTTCATAGTTTCATACAACTTTCTTCTGATGAGCAAAATAGTTTTAAAGCAAGCCACTGCAGAAATCATAGCAAGGCAGGCTGTTCTGTCGTGCTGACGATCAGGAAGCAAATATTTTCATTTAAAGGAATCCAGACTGAAATACATTGTGACCAACAATAAAAAAGCTACCTGGTTTTACTTCTTTTTTTTGTCTTTCAGGCAAAACCATATCTTAAAGAAAGAAAATATGTGAACTCAGATGCAGGTTTGTAAGGCCTGAACAGGTTAGTACTTTTCCTCTTATAATATCTTGTTTCTTAGTCTTGTGTTTCTTAACTTTAGTTTTAAATAATGTTTTAAATTTAAATACATCATACTGCTTTTGTCAGTCCTTGACTGAACAGATACACACTATGAGCCTTGCTAAATGATTCACTGAAAATTCTGATCATTCTAAATGTTATATGTTTTCTTGAAATTTATGTGATAGACCAAAACAAACTATTGCATAATTGTGAAGTGGAAGGAAATTGTGCAATATTTTTTACAAATCCAAATCTGAAAAGTGCTCCGTTTACCTTGTAGAAGTAACTTTAACTGTATGTTTCCACCAGATTTATAAATCTAATTACAGAAATTGTGACAAATTCTTCTTAACAAAACTGTTCAAGTTCAGACTTGATTGAGCTCATCTGTGAATTTTTACCAATGTTTTTCTTTTGGTTTTTGCTCTGGGCTTTGACTAGGCCATAAATCCTTCTATTGTAGCTTTTACTTTATGTTGCTGTCCTGTTATAATTGAGATGCATTTATTTAATCTGTTCCAACCAGTTTCACTGTCTGCTGAAGAAAAACACCCCCACAGAATGATGCTGCCACCACCATAGTTTCATGGTAGGGATGGCATGTTCATGGTGTTAATTCTCTACAATGCATTGTATAATGTATCTACCAGAAAGTTGTCATTTGTTGTAATTTGACTACATACTGTTCATAGTAAACTGCAGAGGGGATGTTTTTTTTTTTTTTTACAGCTTAACTTCTAAATGCAGTTAATTGCACTGGATGCCGCCACCTTAGATTTTTATTTGGAAAAAAAAAAAAATGAAAATCTTTTATTTTTCTTCCCCTTTCAAATTATGCACTACTTTGTTTTGGTCACATAAATGATAAAGGTATACAATGTAAATGACGAAAATGAAAATTTTATTTTGTTGCAGCCTGGCTGAAAAAATGAAAACTAAAAACACAGTCAACAGTCTGTTAAACAGCAGTAGTTCCACATCAGAACATCCTGCCTGTTTTTGATATTGCGGAGCTGTAATGACGGAGCCATAAGGTAGCAGAAGCTCCCGGTTTAACTCGCCCGAGGCTGCACAACGGCAATAAAAATTCATAGCGTTGGACCTAGACCACAAATCTCAACAACACATTTAACATAATGTTTCCTGCACCAGGAACACCAGCTCATAAATGGCTCAAACAAAGAATCATCTGCATTTCAGTTCATCCCGAATAGGGGTCAACGATGTGCCTTAAAATTTTTGCCAGGATATTTTGTGACTTTTATTGTGATGGTGATAAAATTAATTAAAATTCATGAGAGGACTTTTAGTCAGAGTCTCGTAAAATCAAACACTGCTTTAACAATAAAGCTTACCAGTTATATTATAGTGTGTTATATATTTATACAGCAGTAATATTCACCTGAACTATTTCATTCAATCAGAGCTTGCAAACATCTCTAGTTAGAGACCAAGAAGACTAATTATTCATCAGAATGCAGGTTTTCTTTTTTTTTTTTAACGAAAACGATAAATGACACAATAATTCCCAGACGGCTCTCGTCAAAAGAGCAGCAGCTACAAAAATAATCATTGTCTTAATAACTGTTTGGCTCAAGTCTTTAATGGGCCTTCCAGTTTTCAGATTAGCGTTTTTGTCAGCGCAAAGGGCAATTGTGTCACAGCAATCAATCATTCAGAGCTTCTGTCTCTTCATTCGGAGACCTTTAGCGAGGATTCATCGCCGCGCTGGTTGTAAATGAGGATGGAGAAAGGAACAGCTTGCAGGGATCCATACAGTAAAAGCGCAACCTGTTGTGGCTGCGGGCTGCATTTGAGGGATTTAAGCCTCCGAAACGACAACCTTTTCCCTCGCAGAGGTGATGAGCAACATGCGGGCGGAGGACGGCAAATGCCACAGACGGGTATTGTTTATGAGGGATTATCAAGTCAAGCCTTCTGGCTGGAAAGATTGTGACCCCAATATGTGCACAGATACACATCAGCACCATGTAAGCTCCGAAATGATTCCTGGAAGGCTGCGCATGCATACATGCCCTCTTCAACTCCGTCAAATCCATGTTTTAATCACTTCCACAGAAATTTTCACTGGCCTCGCCTTGCCCGTTTTCGCTCACATTTTTCTCTCTCTCTCCACCCAATTTCTCTGGTGGCTTTTTGAAGACTTAAGTTCTTCTCATTTTTCCCCTCCCCGCTCTCTTTCTTACAAGGCAAATCCTGGGAGAGGTTGATGTGAAGACCAGGCAGAGCAGGGATGTGAAGAATATAAACACATTTTTTTTTTATTGTCCAGGGGGAGGAAGGGGGGCTGTGTGTAGTGCAAGTGTGCAAAAGGGTTGGGCGGTGGGGTCTGTAAAAGAGACGAGGACCTTATCACAGCCCAGCAGCTCTGTAATTCGCCACCATGATAAAGTGGCAGCGCGGAAAACCTTACAAGGCTGGCACAATCCAAAGACGGATTAGGTTTTTCTGACATAAGCTTCCTGAAAAACTAATCAATCAGCCCGTGCAGCATTATCAGGAGCGTGAGATTAAAGAGCTGCTCCTAATCCCCCCAACTGTACATTTTATTACACTTCCCAGTGTTAAGTTGCCTTTAAATATACAGTAAATAAATAATAAAACCAAACCTAATTGAGCATGGGCAAGGGAAAGAGGGTTAAAAGGTCCTTAGAGAGGGAATTTGTGTGGAATTTGTGTTTTGTTACGAAGACATGGATAAAAGTGTTGTCCTTGCTGGAGCCGACTCTGACTTTGAAAGGAGCGTCGCTCTCTCTGCCGCTGCAGAGAAAATAAGGAGCACAAACTGCTTTTATTTAAATAAACTAGTGGCAAATACTACCTTAGGTTCGAATGCTGTCCTCCTTCATCTCCTGGCGGAGGGATAAATCATCAAACAGCCAGGGGTATTTTTGACGTGGCTCAGTACCCAGGGTGCCACTCTGTCAGGGGGCAGCATGAACACTCTGTACACTGAAATGATCTTTTGATTCAAGGGCTACTTTACCATTTTATTTTATTTTTTTTTTATTTATATTCTTTAGTTATGTGTTTCTGTAACATGCCCACTTTATCATTGAAATCTATAATACCGGTTTGCATAATTCTTCACTACTTAATATGTTTTTCTCTTAATGCCTGAATTTATTTACAGTTGTATAGGAAACTAGATAATGTTATTTTTCAAACAGATTCTAAATTAAGTAGATTCATGTGAAAATAGTGCATAAAATAGAAAGATTTAGATATTTCGTTTTGATTAAGCTTAACTTTCACATAATTGGGTAAAACTGTCACATGGCAGCATGATAATCAGTGTGTTGAAATTACATTAACAGACATGAATCTTATGCAACTATGCAGTCTTGCAGTTTGAGGTGACTGTCGCAACAATGATCTGCAAGGGGTTAAAAATCTAATTTAAGATTCATGAAAACATTGATTGATTTGTGAAAACAAAAAACAGCAGTTTAATTTTTTACATTTTTTTTTTTTGCATTAACGTAACGACGATTGAGACAAGCATGAGAAGCATGAAAACCCTAAAAGGTTAAAGGGTACAGAAGAAAGGGGCTCGCCCGGGGCCAATTACTGCACGAGCTGCTGCCACTGCATGCAACACACGTAGATAGATAAATAAATAAAAGCTCACAACTACTGCCAAAAGCTTTGAGAAATCACTTGTAATCCCTTAAATCACTGCACATCAAAGTTCGATGGAAGAACCGCAGGCATGTCACAGTTCCAAAAACAAAACGCATCCAGGCTCGTTTCCTCACTCTGATCTAACCTTATTTATTTACTTTTAACCACAGACGTGTGTGTGTGTGTGTGTATATATATATATCTCCTTTAGGTGACACAGGAGGTTAACACTGTCACCGATCCCATCAGCATGGGCCTCGTTGAGCCTTTGTTCCAACATAATACGACCACAGAGTCGCTATCCTGGCTGAAACGTCTCAAGCTGGTAAAGTCTTTGTCAATGTCTCTTCATACCTAATCCTAATCTGAGTTTTAAAGGCTACACGTTCCACTGTGAGAAACTCTGTGGGAGTAGAGTCACGACAGGGCAGGCAGAGGGAAGACAGCGGAGAGGCTTTAATAAGTTTCGTCTTCATCTACATTGTCCTGTTGTCATTGAGCTGGGGATAAGTGCAGCAGATGTCACAGGGTAGAACCCATTCTCCCAGGATGGCTTTGACCCTCTTATTTGTCCCTGGGGTTTGACAGAGATGCTGGGGCCGGGCTTACTTCTTCACCACTTGAAGTGTACGTAAAGTGAGTGGGAGGAAATGGATGAATTCCTAGTTTTCCAGATGCAACGTAAAATTTTAAGTATTTGAAACTGAGCATTGCTGCATCCTCTTAAAGCTTTGGCTACGTTTTGTTTGGTCTGTTCTATCATCTTTATACATAAACATCTTTAAAGTTCAGTTACTTTTATGTTTTGAGTGAATTTCAGCTGTTTTAGCCTACAAAGTTGAAGTAATATTGATAAAGTCTAAAATTTCCCCAGTCAGACGTTTTGTGGGTGTCCTGGGAGGAAAGCCACCGAGGCATATAAAGAGAAGCCTCCCCAGGGGGGTGGCCTGCCTACTTCTCTCTGGAGGCGCAGCTCCCAACAGGCTCAGTGCTGATTACAACAGAACAGACAGCCTTCTGCTGCTGCTGCTGCAGCTGCACAGTTCAAGGCTATCTTTAAAAGAAGCCCTCTTTGAGGATTGAGCACAGATGTGAAGAACTTCTTCAATCCGATGGCATTTCGCCTTCAAGTCCGATCATGGAAAGGGGATAATCAGGATAAAACCAACAATGATAAAAAAAAGAAGAAAAAAAATACAATATATTAAGGAAACCTCTAGAAAGGACACATATCAGCAGATGTTCATCAAAGTAGTGAAAACCCTTTGAATTTCCCCAAAGATCACAATCTTTCTTTATAGAGATTAACGCAATAAAAATAAAATTACACTAAAGGAAGATTATATCAAAAAAAGCTTAGCACAATGAATTTCTAGTAAAGCCGAAATAATTTTCCTTGCACTGACGTAAGCCTTATGTGAGTTACAAAGAAGAAGTAGCAAAAGCTTTACAAAAAATCCCCCCCCCCCCCC